TCTAAAATGAACTTTTYGAGCTGTAAACGAACAATTTACAGGCAATGCACTGATCTATCAATTTTCATTTCAATCAAGAAACAAATTTTTGAATTTCCCTTGTAACACTATTTGTAGAATAAAAATAGTATTTTGTATTTCATATTGAATTTTATCGAATTTCCTTATCTTATTTTTTATCGTATCTTTGTTGTCATCAGAGGAGCTGAATAAACTTGCGTGGTTATAATCTGGGTTGACGAAAGTTTCCGACAGTTTGAAGTAATACGTTTGACCAGCCAAGCCAAAGTGTCAACTCTAAGTTATAATCAGTCTTCTTTGAAGAATCTATTTACATTAAATACGAGAAATAACCGGAATTTGAGTGCTTAACGGATGTTCAGCAAAGAGTAGAAGTTCCCCACACTCGCTTCCGTGTAAATACAAAAGCCCAAAACTGCCGACTAGTGTTTTTATAAATCGACTCGGCAAATGCGCGCGCGCCTGTAGTTTACCGCTCATTTTGTAGCTCATTGCATATTCAAAATATCTTGGATTTCATTGGKCGAAATTCGAGCTTTCTATTAGGCAATGTGCATTGATGTCATGTCACAGGCAATGTACAGAGACGCCATTTTGTGCAGCAAAAGATGATGGTTGTTGTAGTCCTCATACATATTATGGATCCTGAAATATCTCCCTTAAAGGTTTAACATTTTCTTTGTAGAAACGGTACAAACTTCTATTTTTGCTTAGAAAAAGCAAAAACTGCCAAGGAGGACTGTTGTAGAGTTCATAAAAAAAAGTTCGAGAACTCCAACTTCCATCATGCTTTGCTGCACAAAATGGCGTCTCTGTACATTGCCTGTTCGCAAATAGATGCAGATATGACATATGTATTTGGTTGATGTATAATGTCTATAAAATGATTAAAACTTGCGCAAGGATATGATTAATTATTATGAGTTATCAAAATGTACACAAAATGATGCCAAGTGTTTATTAAGACTACACGTGGAATGTAAACATTATAATAGCAGAAAGGAAGGAAGAACCGAAACGAGCGAGAAAGGTAAATTAAACAAGCTAGGACCAATAACAGAATCAATTGTAAACGGTGTAAGCATAAATGACTTCAACTTTCCGTTAATAATGAGTGAACTCGTTTTGTAATGGAATAAATCGAGTTGAGAACTCGGGATTACGTACGTAAGGAGTTGGAGTTGTAAACAATAGGGTACGACAGTTAACATTATATAATATATCATCCATTCGTGAGTTGTTTATGACTCCTGTAACAATGAGTGAGCTTGTTCAGAGAGTTTTAGCATCACGTTGACGGCAAACGGCTAACGGCAGAGCTGAACCAATGACCTAAGAATTTCGTGCCCGACCTTGTGCTTTTGGTAGTCATTTGAAAGAGCGGCTTTTCACAATTATGACAACCTCAAAGTAACCCGCTCTTGCGTTGAAACTGCAACGTTAAACTCAAAAAAAGCAGGTCACGTGATCTTTTCTGCCCGTTTGGCGTTTGCCGTGAACGTCATGCTAAACCTCTTAACCTAAGAACTCGAGTTACATAAAGATTTAGAATTATGCACTTAAAATTGAAACCATACGACTCGTSAAGAAGAAAATTTCAATGTTATATTTAGCATTGAGTGAACTCGTTTTGACATGAGTTGAGTACAGAACTCGAGTTACTCACGTATAAAGAGTTAGAATTATGTAACTTCACGACTCGACAAGCAGGTAATCATCAATTTATTATCGACTTCAGAGTATTCGTGGCTTCCACATTGGAAAACTGATTAAAAGTTATAAGAAACTAAAACGATTTTGAGAACTTCAATTCGAGAGTTATGAGCATGACATTACAACAAATAGCATCGATGTGAAAGATATGAATTTATATTAGTATTTCTTAGTACTAATAAATCCAAATACTGGACGACCAATCATGCCGGAACTTGTCCACCTCCACTACCTTCACCCTCTTTTGAATAAGAAAAGAACAGCAGAATTAGTGAAAAGTCTTCCCAAAGTGAGGGGAKTTTTAAGGTTGGAGGTTTGGGAAAGAGAGGGGGAGAGGGGGAGGGGGAGAGGGGGGGAGGGGTGCACATTGTAGTGTGAAAAGGTCCTAGAATACTCCAGTTTCGAGATCTTATATGATTTGTGCAGCCGTAACCTCGAAAGCATGTAATGTATTCTTTTATTCAGTAGAGATCCTATTGTAATGCAAACACTCTATGTACAAAGAAGACAATAAAAATTTTATTCTTGATTGAAGCTAAGCTTGCACAAAAGGGAATTCGAAACTGTCGTATTCTTTCTCTTGTTATCTAAAGCTTACTCTCTTGGTATATCTAAAGCTTACAAACCTTTGATTTCATACACAAAATTTGTATTTGGTCCACCGACACAATTCTCTTCATTTTCTGGGTCGCAGGGTTTATAATCCCCCTTGATACACTGAYCACTACCGCCATAGCGGTTGTAAGAACTTGCAGCATTAGAAGAACTGAAGCACTCCCCGTAGAACTGTGTCCCAAAGTGTGTGAAGCCTAGTTTAAACGCTGCTTTAGCACACCGACATGTCAGACTGTAGAGTAGACGAAAAAAAGATATAAGACATAAGCAGAAACCGAAGCAGATGAAGCTTGTTCACAGTTTACAGTAGAAGCAGCCGACGGGTTCCCTGGGAGAAATGTATCTGTTCTTGTGTCCCAGCCAGCTGTAAGTCACAACTGGTTGCCAGCGAGAAATTCAGGAAAAAAGAACTCTCCAGGCAAGGAATACTCTCTAAGAATTTTTGCCAGGAAAATAAAAAGTGTCTAACTAAAAAATATATAACCAATTTTTGACCATAAAAACGTTATATAAGCCTTTTTTGAGCTTCAAACGTTTGCCAGGAACAAAATTATTTTAAAGAAGGAAGGCCGCCACATTTGCTTGTGAGATTGTCAACAATGTAGCTCAAAATCCCTTTCCTAGGAAAAAATTCGTACAAGAACAGTTATGTAGAAGAACAGACCCCGTCGGCTCAAAGCATATTCTTCTGCTTATGATGTCCCGGTTTGCACTCATAATATTGTATTATTAGCTGAAACAGAAGCATAAGAAAATGAAGATGTTTTCAGTTTCATCTACTTCTGTCTCTGCTTTTGTTTTCCCCGGTCCACACATACAAACTACACTTCTTCTGTTCTGCTTAATGTCAAAGTGCGAAGGGGTGGGGATGCGTGGGTGCCATGTTAAATAAACTATCGCACATCTCCTCTTTAATGAAGAATCACGCAAAATGTTGAACGAGTTATTTACTTGCCTATCTAAATATGAACCAAAGTTTCTCCAGTCAATTTTACTAGTACTTCTATCACTGAAAAGCATTTGGGGCATAGCTCTGTTTTCMCTGCTGTCTTTATAACAGCCAACTTTTACAAACTCGACGGAGCATGCTTCCCGGCGGTCGATGTGAAGCTCATCTGAAACTGAATAAAGCCGYCACATTCAGTGAAATAAATATCTATACTCATTTATCAGATCTCAAACCAGTCTAGAGTCTATTCCTCGCGAGATTATGACGTAGTGATACAGGAATCCGCATTTTTTTAAAGGAGAGAGCTCTAAAAGGATGAAAACGCGCGCTTGTTCTTTATTTTTCGATTAAATCATGCGCAAAATTACAAAAATAAGACAAAAAAAAAGAAAAATAGCGAAAACAAAACTAAAGCAACAGCAACAACAAACAAACAAAAAGCAAAATAAACACACAAATAAACAAGTAAACACCGTCACACACAAAAAAAATTGTACTAAACACAAAAGAACAAATGATTTAACAACATCCAAGTTTCTCAATGAATGGTTGGGAAGCCTGTGCCAGGATAGCAAGATCAGACTTACAAAAAAATGTCATTTTCATTATTTGTCATACCTGATTCAGTTAATTCACGAAGACGTTCCTCCAAGTCAAAGTCTGATCTAGGACCATAGGCTTTTGCACTGGTTTCATAAAGAACCAAGGTAATGATAGCGAGGAAGAAGACTTTCATTTTAGTTTAACCTGAAAGACACGCAAAGAAATGATTGAATTTGACTTGTGTTGCGTGGCTGACGACGTTCTTACACTTATAACCTACTTAACCTACGTTCACACGGGGCCAGTTCCGTTAGGAAACGTTCTAGTTTAGGCGCCGTTTACACTGGAACTCTGGAACTAGCCACATCTGAGGCTGGCAAAGTGTTCAGGTTTGGGGCCGGCTAAAAAGCTGTTCCACTTTGAGGACAGGTTATTTCGAAGCATGCGAACGGATCCGTGTGAACACTGTTTCAATCCGTACCGAAATGTGGACGGTTCCGTGTGAACAGTGGGAACTGTCCTAAAACCCGCGAGGTGTCCTCAAACTTGACCGGCTCCGTGTGAACGTAGTCTTATATGCATTCTGTTTTCCCTACTAAGGACACGCGCTACACTCGCACGCGCATACAGCCGTGTGCCGGCAAAATATTAATTTATCCCATTATTTGTCCTTGTTCACAAATTACGATATTTTGATCCAAAAAAAATGACATTAATACAGTTTAATCTTACAGGGCAATTCTTCATCAGGAAATTTTAGCTGACAAACCAATTGCGTGGATCGATTAAAGAGACGGTAGCAGAGGGTATAAATGATATATAGCAGGATGAAGAAAGGTTCTGAGAGAGGGTGCGAAGGAAGAAGAGAGGGCGGAAGAGAAAACAGAAAGTACGGAATAGKTGTTAAGAAAAGCTGAAGTTAGCAAAAGAAGTGAAAAAGAAAGTGAAGAAGAGGTAAGAGTAAGAGAAATAAAGAGAGAATACTGAGAAGAGGATGGGAAAATTTGTTGTAGGGATGTAAAGAAGGAAAAGAGCAAGGGAGTGGTCATGAAGGGAGGAGGGGAGTTATTTAGTAAAAATGGAGCGAGGCATACGAAATATGAAATCGAATTAATAGYAAAGATGACTGTAAGGAAATCGAGTWGTAACCGGGTAACCTAACTAAATCAAATATATGGATGAGCCCGAGGAGAGCGACTATCAAAGGAACACTATGTCATGTAAAAACAATTGAAGAATTTATTTACATAAATCGATAAAAATCATAATAATATAAATCTTGCATCATTTTAACTTTCTTAACATCATTCAGTATCTCGTTCTATTGGCAAAATTTACAAGTTCTTTTCAGAGTCTCTTKTTTGATTACAGTAAATAATTTCATGATGGTAAGTTCATTTGGGGAGACTCAGTCGAACATCCATTCCAATCCAGGTTCCTCTCGGCATATCGATACAAGCTTGTTTGGACTGCAGTCGACACCATCACGTCTCCACTCATCTTCGGTTCTTTTAGCCTCCTTGATCACATATCGTGTGATAAGCTTCGCTTGTTGCTTACTGATGACTCCACTACGCAAGTCTTGAGCCATGGATCTCAGTTTTTCACATGGGGAAATATAAACTGACAAGATCTTTCTTTGGACTTCAACTAATYTTTGTCGTTTAATCTGTCGGGAGACTTTCGGTGGAGATCGTACACCTGTCGTAACACKTCGTGAACAAGTCGTATCAATATCGATATTTTGGTCCTGAGCTTTGCGTTTTCGTGAAAATGTCGTGTTTGAAGCTGTTTGTGARATGTGGAATGAAGCGACTGGCGATTTACTGCGGCAACTATAGCAAGAAGCCGTTTCCATCTTTCTTCCAAGAGTAGATGGTATTTCTGTGTAKCTTGTGWACGATGATCGATTGAAGAGAGCTGCAAAGTGTGCCGCGGCTGCAACGTTTCCAATTGCTTCCCCTGCAGAGATATTAGCACTTTGAGGTCCAAGAKAGTYTCCACTGATTTTTGAATCGTTAAAATAACCAAGCAAGGAAGGCGGAGAAGTTTGTTTGCTCACAAAGTCAGTGAACTTGAACAGGTCTGAATCGAGGTTGAACGCCTTTCCATGCAATCCATTTGAAGACATCTTAAGCTTCTGTTTTTAAAAATTCTGCAATGTTTTGAATTATTTCTTGATTTCAAACGCGCAAGGCGGTGAGGGATGCAAGTTTGGTTGTCCTAAAGTTAACTTAGCTTTCGGAAGCAATGAATTTTCTTTTCTATTRTGACGTCTGGTATCGTCATTGAAGAAGCCTCGCGCTGGGAAAAAATGCGCGCGCTTCTCTTGCCGGCTTTACTAACGCACTATTAATGAGTGAGCGTGACACGAAAGTGCATATTGCTTGAATAAAGAATAACAATTTTGTGGAGAAAAAAAAGTAAAGAAAAAAAAAAAGAAAAAAAAAAGAAAATCCTCCTACCCTTCAATGCCGGCCCTATATCTATATGAGCACAATATTTTGTTTTCATAGAGTATATATAACACGGACGCGTTGAGATACGGATTTTGTCTTCGAGTGCGTTGAAAAGATCTCTCACGAGTGAGCGTAGCGACAACACGAGAARATAAGATTCGTATTTCCAAGCGACCATGTAATATTCTGTTTATCATATAATTGTATATGAAAGCAAATTATGTCGTAAAATACCTTTTTCCTTACTTCCAAAAACCGCGAAAAACCGGCCGCGAGAATATCAATTAACGAAATGGAGAAATATAAGTTATTTCGTAGATAATAATTATATGATAAATAGTTTTAAGTTTTACATCATATATTAATGCACCCTTATGGGGAATTTCTAAATTGAAAAGAATATTTAACAAATTTCTTGTTCTTTGAAGTAATGAAATAGACTTTGGTATCAAATATCGATCAATGAAAAATGCTTTGAAAAAATCTTTGCGGTCTGATTAAGCAAATATTACACATAAATAATTAAAMRTTTACAGCAACTTTAAATGATTTTTGGCCTGTTTATTGATACAGATTTACCAGTATTTACACTAGTATTTTTACATATAAATAAAATCAGTTTTGATCAAGAAAAAGATCCAAGATCACGATTTTTACAAATATTACACATAAATAATTAAAAATTTACAGCAACTTTAAGTGATTTTTGGCCTATTTATTGATACAGATTTACCTTATTTACACTAGTATTTTTACACATAAATAAAATCAGTTTTGATCAAGAAAAAGACCAAAGATCACGATTTTTTGGATAAGTATCTACGTTGTATTTTATCTAAATGGGGTAACGTTTTCTGACAAGACGTGAATTTTTTGAACTCAGGTTAAAAAGGTTTTGTAATTAAGACTGAGGTGGAATTAATATATTTTTAAAATGTCAAAATGTACACAGCATGCAAGTTGTAAAGGAATAATAAATATTGATAATAAAGACGAAACTAGTTTTCCTTAACCGTATACCGAATCTTGTGTTTTCTGTGTGGCGAAGGAGAGATYAAAATCRAAAATATTTTTTTTAAATACTAAGTTTTGCTTCTTCTACGTAAGTTTTCTAATTTTCCGAGCTGTCGGTCAACTTGTCCATCATCAGGGCAAAATGAAGCATAAACAATGAATCCTACGTACGATAACATTGTAACAAAAATATTTTGACATTCTTTTTTTCATTTACATGTAAAAAAAATGAAGTTTTAAAAAACTCCTTAAGGATCCAAKTACAACAAATATCAAGGAATTAATCAGGAAGAGCTGACCAGATCTGTTCTTCTAAATGACTGTTCTTATACGATTTTTTTCCTAGGAAAGTTAGAACTAGAATTTTTAATTGTGAAAAACTCTCCCTTAGTTAAAGCACTTTAACTAAGAATTTAAGAGATATATATAATTTTCCTTCCTGCAAAGGTTGTGAAGAGTTTCCTGGGAAAATTCCTAGAGCCYATTCCTCGGCGTGATTTAAAAATTACTTCTGAATGTATTATAATTTTGCTAGCAACCAGATGYGACCTACAGCTGGCTGYGACAYAAGAACAGATAYATTTCTCCCATGARCCCGTAGGCSCCTCTTGATTAATATTTYAGGCAAGACAACATGAGGTTCTWAATTGTTATCAAGGGAATATGAATGACTTTTCAAAATCACTGTCATAGCACACAGATAATAACCCTGTACTTCAACTTTTG